ACATTGACTTTCGATCCTTTCAGGCTCGAGACCTCTCGCCTTCTACAATGCTCTTTTCACATTCCCCATGGCTTCTGCCTCCCTTGTGACATGGCTTCGCGTGCTCTCTGTGTTAATGGTGGTCCCCGGCAAAGCGGTGGAAGATCCCTCGGATTGGCCGTCCGCTACAAATACCTGGGGTGACGTCAACCCTACCTCTACCTCGGCATCTTCGGCTACATCTCCTTCCCCGGCTACCAGCACGTCGGCTCACCAACGAGGGATTGGCTTTGCTAGATCCTCCTATGAGTATATGGCCTGGATGGCTGCAATGTGGGACGAAGAGATCTGCGTGGGACTACAAGGGGAGGAACTTCAAGAAGAAATTGATTTCCCTCTACCACCGGATGAAAGTTCGCTCCCTCTGCCACGTACTATGCTTGGTACACAAGCTGTGACAGCTGATGCTGCCCCAGCCACACCGACACCAACCTCGGGCGACTGGATCCTGGCTGTGATGGACACCCGTGACCTTCGTGGCCGAAGACACACAAGAATAACGGAAAACCAGTCGATCTCAATGTCGCCACTGACTGTGGACCCGTGGGCTCCAATGAATTGGCAGGATAATGCTTTGAGTGAACAAGGTGGAGCACCTGACACTGACTATCCTCGAGCACATCCTGCGGACCTGCTCAGGACGGCAACAGGTACGTCGTCTTCTTCGACATCGGAACCATCCCGAAATTGGCTTCCTCCTCGACCTGGGAACCATCGAGTACGTCGTCTCTTGCAGCTTGGGAACCATCAAGTACATCGTGGAGCTTACCGACCTCGGCTACTTCATCCTCTTCATCGTGGGAACCGTCGACTACATCTTGGAGCTGTCCGTCATCGTCCTCTTCTTCTTCTTGGAGCCAGTGGAGCCCCTGGACGCCTCCTATAACGAGTGTGGTTGAACAAAGCACCGAGAATGGGGCTGACCAGTACACTACACCCGTGGCTACCTCTGTGTCCAGCTCTGGAGATGAAGAGACAAACATGGGAGTTACCTCACGGTTTGGAGTTCCCAGACCAGGACGGGACAGATGGCACCACGCCAATGGGTCAGTCCGAAACCGCCTTCGAGACCATAGGCTTGCTGAAGCTCAGCATTTGGACACGGTGGATGAAGTGGAACCGGTGGTCTTCTCCATTGATGGGATGAACTCCTCCGGCGTTGAACCCGTAGTACAGGCAACCACCTACTATGGGGAGAAATTTGAGGTTCGAGCGGATCCTGGCAGCCTTGATGGACCTTCCACCACATGTGGTGAAACAGACCTTGATGGTGAGGCGGACATCTCCTCCACCAATGAGGACACCGACACCCCTGATGATGCAGCTGGGAGTTCTTGCAGTACACCAGTCGGGTTCTGGCGTCACGGAGAGTTCATTCCTCGACCTCGTACCAGTGAGGAACTACGTGCACATAAGGGAGGGTCTGGTATCCGTCGTACGACTAAGAAGCAACAACGGATGGCAGAGCACTTCCGAGGTGATTGGCCACCAGCATGGCTCAGGAACTACATCAAAGACAAGACACGTCGTGATTCTCAGGGGGCAGATGAGGTTGAGGAGACCCTAGGGAACCATGCGAACCTGAACGAAGACGTGGATGCATCAGTGGGAGTCATCGACCAATCTCCGACTCCTGCAGCCTTGTCTGGATCGGATCGCCCGTGGTGGACCCGATGGACACAAGAGGAGTGGGACGCTTGGTACATGTGGAGTGGTGACACCTCGTCGACATCGACTTCAGTGACTTCAAGTTCCCCTCATTGTGTGGGCAACGATCCTGCGCTGCCGGGTGGGATCACTACGAGCTCAACTACCTTTGTTGTCCTGCCTAACTTTGGTTTGTTCCCGGATGTTCGGCCAGCACCACCTCTTCCGCCTGAAGAAACATCGCTCATGCAGCTCACTGGCTCCGAAGAACAACGCCTCAGGGAAAATGGTGTTCCTCAACGAGACGTTGCACGTCTAGGCAGCCTGCTTGACTCACTCCAGGAGCACCAAGAGGAAGATCGAGGACCCGAAGCAAGATGGGCATTGGGATGTCTACTACAACGACTTGAAGAAGGACAAGATGCACTGTGTACAGTAGTAGAGATTCTGGCTCGTCGTCTTGTCCCGTGCGGCTTCCTCCCAGTACGTCGTGTCCCAGCTGAAGAAGTCCAACGATGGCGATTACTCAATTGGGCGAGACAGAGTATCCCTTGTCTGCTGGATACTTGGGAAACCCATCTTCGAACACCCCTCCAACCTGGGGAGACCTCTTCTACGGTGTCTGACCTCCCCGAGCCGCGACCTTCGCTATATATTCAGTCTGCTGGCAGTAGTATGAATGCTGGGGACGTGGAACCTCTGGAGGAAGTTGATGGAGAGGATGAAGCTGATGGATCGCCCAGGAGCATTGAAAGCATAGACAGTCAATTTGCGATTGATGCGGATGGAAACATGGTGGAAGTACCACCACATGTTCCTGTGCCTGGAGAAGCTCCTCGTGGACCTCCGCCACCAGTTCCAGTCAGATGGGACCGCAGTCGCAGCAGGTCACGTGGTGAGCCGGCCTCTTCGTCTTCTTCGAGTTCATCGACTTCACCGAGACCACCTATCGTTCCACCTCATCCTTCACCGCCAAATGGTATTTGGAGGGAACCTGGAGAAGGGATGGAGGAAACGAATGATGAAAATTCACTTGTACAACTCTTTGAGAACATGAGGGTGATCTTTTCGTCCACAACCACCACTTCGACCAGCTCCACCATGTTGTCGCCGGATGATGTAGTTCGGGATGAGGTTACTGCAAATATGCTCCAGTGCAACCTCGTGGACGTCGTGGACATCATGCAGCGACTGATGGCACGTCGACGGCATCTTGAACGCTGTCAACGGTTGCTGGGTGTGGCGCTGGAGGAACTTACACAGTGGCTACGTCTCCCGATAAGTGCCTGTCCTCTCAATGGCAGGCCCATGGAGCGGATGATCTGGCAAACGATCGGTGACCAAGCGATGTGTGACACAACGTCTCAGGCGATTACTCCATTACCACCTCCAGCTATGCATCCAGTGTACCTACTTCGACCTGGGCTGCCTACAACCACAACTGAGCTGTGGCAGGCTTTTCATCCACGAGAGCAGCGACATACCATCGCCGGGTTTCGTCGTAGAGTCTGGCGTGTTCATGTGGAACGACTACATCGTGCTGAAGGACTACCGATTCCATTGGGACGATGGCCTGCAGAGGATGATCGACAACTTCTTCTTCCGCAACACAATGAAAGTCAGTTCATTCCCAACTTCCCGTCTGGCTATGCTATGCCGTCGACTATGACTTGTGCCCCTCCACCGCCAAATCAATCACCCAGTGGGGGAGTACAATCGCCAGATGTTCGTTCCGGACGATGCCGTGGGCATGTACGGCGTGCTCCTCTTCGTCTTCGGCCTGACCTACACCATGGCATGGATCGTGGAAACGAGTTTCGGCTCGAAGTGTTGGACGACATGAACATCAAGGACCTCGTGAACTTCCTGTACCCCATGCTCCTGCATCGCCGACCTGGTCATCTAGGGATCGTGCTGGTGAACAGGATGGTGTGGCGTCGTCAGGGAGATTCAGATCAACAACAGCATCAGGTGAGAACATGTTTGAGCCAGATGGTGAGCCTGATGGGATGGTGAGCCCGCTGGTGAGAATGGTGCCGAATCTGACGGTCGACACAGAAACGAGCGAAGCCGAAGCCGAGATCGCGCATGAAGTCGTCTGTGAGTGAGCCCAGTAGTGCAGTGCCTTCCGAGGCGGGCTTCAGACCCGTATGTCATGCGGAGAAAGAGCCATTGCATTTAAAAAAAACCGTAAAACTTAAATCCTAAACGCTAAACGCCTAGACCACTAAGCCTCTAGCTGTCCTTTCGGGAAAGGACGGTGACGATGACAAAGATTCAGCGGCCGAGCAACGGTTTGTTATCGGCTCCGTGGCCAGATGTCAGGTCTTCCCAGAATCATACATACTTCTAATATTATATAATCACATACTCTATACCTGTTATTATATATACAAATATTTTTTTAGTATATTTTAGATTAAATTATGGGTTATGTAACGGTTATGTATTATATATTATATATTGTATCTTGTATAGTATATTTTGTACGTTCCTTTAGGTTGCCAACAGCAAAGCTTCAAAGTCCGCATAGCTATGGAGTATGCTTTGCTGTTTTGGATTCCAAGTTGCCCTCAGGTCTGTTGGACCTGGTCAAGATGACCTTGAGCTCAGACAAGAAAGGATTTCCCCGGGCCGTTGCTGACCAGGATTCAATGGAAGACGACGGCACCGACATACCTGACGAATCCGGTGGTGGGGCGTTGATGCAGCATTCTTTGATACAGACATGGTGTGACGCGCCCACTGAAGTCACCACTCGGATAACTTGGGCTTAGAATTCGAGTTTATAGTATATACAGCTTCCGTTGATCGAGACGGTCCGACCCGCTGGATTTCCCTTCCCGACGATGCATAAGTTCACGGACATGGCAACTTTAGGGTGTTCTTCCAGTCATCGGCCTTCGAGCCGGCAACTGCATAGAAATCTGTGTTGCTACGGACCTCTCGGTCTGCATGTTTCGAAGCTTGAGATGCTAAAGCGCTGTAGATGTGCTTCGCATATTCTGTGTTTGCTGACTTGCAGGGTGCGCGCCAGGCCTCGGCCACCGAAGGTGGCACTTTCCGCACTTTTCGGGTTCAAAACCCGGTGCAGCGCACGATGGGCATTGTGTTGCTGCGCACGAGCAAGGACAGCGTAGTCTTTAAGGCACCTGAAGGGTGCCACAGGCCGTTTTCGGTCTGCCTCGAACGTTGCTATCGACTCCAAAAAACCTCACTTGAGACGCAAAATCGCGGGAGGGGAGGAGTGGTCCTCGCGCTTGGCGCCCTCGTCCTTCTTAGTGCTCCTGCACAGAAGCTCTCGGAGCGCCCAGGTGTAAAGTGCGCGGATGGGCTGCCTTTCGGACTTCTGCTTGGCTTCGAAGGCGCCGTCAGGCCCTCTCCTCAGAAGGTCGGCACAGAAACATGTTGTCATTGAAGTCATCGCACTTCAGACCCGAGCCGGCTCGCGAATCACAGACTGTGCGTTTATGCAAGGCCCAGATTCGCATCGCGAGCTATTTCAGAGGGCACTTGACGAGGACGGGAAAACGGTATCTGCTCCCGTGGTCTCGCCATGATCGCGCGATGCATGTAGTGCTTACCGTAGCAAACACTTCGCCTTGTGCGGCGCACGAAGCTGGCATCGTCATCATCGCCATCACCATCAATATCACAAGCACCAGCACCGTCTTCATGATCATCTTCTTCCCCTTCTTCTTGATCATCACTATCACTATCACTATCACTATCACTATCACTATCACTATCACTACCACTACCACTACCACTATCACTATCACTATCACTATCACTATCACTATCACTATCACTATCACTATCACTATCACTATCACTATCACTATCACTATCACTATCACCACCACCACCACCACCACCACCACTGCCACTGCCACTGCCACTGCCACTGCCACTGCCACTGCCACTACCACTACCACTACCACTACCACTACCACTACCACTACCACGACCACCATCACCACTACCATCATCACTATTATTATCACTGTCACTCTCACTATCACTATCGCTATCATCATCATCATCTTCATCGTTATTGTCATCGTCATCATCATCGTCATCATTATCGTCACCATGGTTAACACCGCCACATCATCATCATCATCTCCTTCACCATCGTCATCATCATGATCATCATGATGGTCATCATCATCATCATCATCACCATCACCATCTTCATCACCACCATCATCATCATCATCATCATCATCACCTCTGTGGCAGGGAGGAGGGCTGCATTTTTCCAAGCGCAGTGCTATGTGCTGCCACGGCGTGGGGGATTGCCTTCTTCAGTAGCCACGGTAGTGCGGTAGTGCCAGCGCTCTTCGTGCCGGCGCTTCGGTACCTGCGCAGTGGATCATGCAGGGAACCGCTTTGGGTCTGTGAAGTGGAAAATCTTGCCAAGTGTGCTTACAGCCCGTGTTTGCCCTTGCGGTGGGTTCGCGTAGGGCAAGCCTGCCTTCTAGCGGTGCTGGCTTTTCCAAAGTTCGTAATCGCGCTTCCGCCACAGTTCCGCATGCATGGAGTGTCGCGCCTTTTTTGCAAGATGGGGTGCAGCTCTTATTTCAGCCGCCCTGAGTCGTGCTTTCGCTACAGTCCCATGCACTCCAGCCACCCGAAATCGTGCTGGTTCCGCAATCTGGGGTGCTCATCGTGCTCCCACCACCATACAGCGCGAATTTAGCACTCACGTGTGGTCTTGGGAGACAGTAAGAACAGATGTTACGCCTGGAAGCATTGTCAGCCGGGTGTTGGTCTGCTTTCATTTCGGCTTATTTGAGCTTCTGCGGATGACCCAGAAAGTCTAGTTCTGAATTCTGGTTATTCACTGCACGAGCTGCAACCAACAAGCAACTATGCCAGCGCAGACCGCAAAAGCAGAAGCACACCTCGCAGTCCAAGCCCCACAAACCCAAGAGCCATTCCAGGGGCCCGTCGCATGCTTTTATGTCCAGAACTCGCATGATTCGAAGGACCGCGCGCGCGGACTTGGTGCCAAAGCTCAAGCCCCAGAAGGACCGAGGGGAAGTCCACGCAGCGCAGCGCCTCCAAGGCCGAAGAAGGCGAAGTGAAGGGGCTCGAAGGCTGATAGAGCACGCGCTGGCTCGGATCGCGGAGAGCGAGGAGCCCCTGCCGCCGGAGCTGGCAAAGCGGCTGGCGAGGCTCGACCCGTGGAGCGAGGACTGAAGTTGAGTGGTTTCTAGGACTGCTGAGGATTGTTTGCGTGCCGGAACCCCCCTCAGGAGCTCAACTTCCGCCATGCCTGCCTGGGACAAACCGGCACCGTGCATCTTGCCGACCCCCCAAGCTGCTCTGTGTAGTGCAAACCCACTCTAATGAGAGGAAAAACTGTGCAGCTGCGCCCGAGGCGCCATTCATCAAATGCCTGCAGTCCTTGCAAATTCTGGAGCACGGAGCCAAGCACGAGGAATCAACACTTTGGTGCCCAGAGTCTTCAGTAGCCGTTCCGGGAGGATCAAGCCCACCATTCGCGAATCAGTCTTCCGCGCGATAGTGGACCAGCGGAAAGACATTCAGCATTGTCGTGGTGGTTTATCATGGAGGAGGGAAGTAGCATACTTAGTCTAAGTTGTCGTTCTCCTCCCCCCTTATCTCCGAGCCAGCATTCCCCAAGGCTTTGCGGTAACTACATCGGCTCGAAAGGCGGGGGGCCCGGATCCCACCTGCTCTCTGAAAGGCCTGTCTCAACCTGGCCAGCGACCTCTCTTCGGATTCTCGGATCATCACGGATCTCTTTGGGCAAGACCTTTACGGAGTCTGTCCAATGCAGCCAGTTTCCGGGTCCGGGCCTCGCTAAGAGCTCCAGGCATCGCGCCCTTGATCAAGATGCTGGAGACGCAATGGGACCTGAAGGCGCGGCCTGGCGCGGGGCGGCCTTGCTGGTAGTGGCTCTAAGGTCTCGACGCAGCCTTCCATCACATGGGGCTATCCTGTGTTGTTGTTGTTGTTGTTGTTGTTGTTGCCGAAGATCTTGAAAGTAGGTTCCAAATTACGATCATTGGAACTTGCATTGGGATCAAAGCGCGGTGTCGGCGAACGGAAGTTCATTGCCCTCTACTTGTACAAGACAGTTCCGGCGTCGTTCGCGAACCTCCAGACCCCTACCAGTGGCTCCTTGTTGCTAGCTTTTCCCATGGAGACAGTTTCATGCCAACGCCTACTTTCAAGCGTACTCGCTGCACTTCAAAGCCTTGAACCCTGTGATACCCTGTCGATTGTGTAGGCCTACTGCCTACTCGAGAGAGCTTTGCCCCTGCTGCCTTGGCAGCACCTGTGCAGTACCTGGGACTCGCATGGAACGGCCTGGGTGATGAGTCCTGTGGTCATCTTGCCTCAGCCTCGGCTCGTTTTCCTCCCACTTCAAGGTCAGAGTCAGAGTACAATTGCAGATGGAGGGCTTCCGCTGACATGATACGGTGGTCACAGGAAGTGCAAGAGAGAGCAAGAGGGTCGGATATGGGCAGCTACATGCACTACAACTCTCTTTAGCTTCAGTCACCACTCGGCACTGGGCTCCACGAACCCAGGCGATAACTTCAGCAGACGGTCTAGCGTCACGATGGCATTTCCGCTTTCGGCGCTTTTGCTCGAATCGCCGGGCATGTTGTTGCGCCCTTCTGTGGGGAGAAGGGCCAAAGCCCAGCGTGTAAGGCAGGGAAGGGAGAAAGTGGAGGAACTTGTTCGAACTTAACGGGCTCCGTGCCTGTGGCCGCCCGCCCTGCAGACCGACATGACTTTGCCGGCGCGCTGAAGCGAGACGGCCAAGGCCAGCTGAGGCTTAAGGAGAGCCATCAAGTCGTTCGATTTCCTTTGCTTTCCCAGCCGTGCTGAGATGAATCGCACTCTTCATGTGTGGAAGCCGTGTTGCCCCTTCGTGGCAAGCAGGTCATGCAAAAACTGTAGAGTTTCAGTCAACCGCGAATGTGCATGATCTGAAGCTCATCAGTGCTGCCATTTGGCTCAGCAATCACTGTTGCCGCGGTCGGAGGTGGGTCAATAGTGGCAAGAACAGACATAAGAATACTTTCAGTCAGAATCGTAGTCTCCCCAGTGCAGCTTAATGCGACATATGAGCTGCCACTTTTATTTGTATTCAAAATGTCGGACGAGATGTGCCTCGCCGACGAAAAGCCCGAAGCGCATCTTGGCTCCCAGCAGAGCATGTCAGAGAAGGAAGAATTCGGCACACAAACACTTCAAGGCAATGTGGCATCAGGGGCGCCCCCAGCCCATGCGAGCAGCACATGTGTGCAACATGCTTGTTACGTAGATGCTGAGGTTGCACAGAAGCCGGTGTGCACCTGGGCTGAAGAATGGTGGGATTTGGTTGAGAGCTGGCTGAACATTGCAGTGCAGGGTAGATTCGAGAAAAGTCAGTCTCCTCAGGCTGTGCCGGGCTTGCCCCTCCGCGAGCTTCAGGACTTGGGCCTGTGGGGTTGGAGGGCTTCGGAGGCGCAATCCAGAAAGTGGTTTCCAGCCTCAATTCATCAAGTCTGCGTAGAGCCGAAACTTTTGGGGCCTTGGGGGATCTGGCTTCGAAAGGTTTCATACCACGCTGGTTTCACTTCGCCTCCATTTTTTGCCAGAGGGTTCGAAAGCTGCGGAAGACCCGCGGGATGAGTTCCAGTGTCCAGTGCGAGTTGACATCCTGCCGTCAAAGTGCAGTCAGACGCAGTCAGCGAAATGTCCGGTTCAGGGCACTTGTTGAGTAAGTGAGTGAGCCATGAAGATCCCATTGTAGGAACAGCCACGGGTTGAAGCTGTTTGTGTCTCTTGCACATGGTCAGGATCAGTATTCAGCTCCAGAGTGCGACCCTGACGATCTGCCCAGCATTGTCTCCAGAAACCATGACCAAGTCATGCAGAAGCTCCGATGCTCGGCAAAGTTCAAGGCGCAAGGAGACTGCCAGCGGCTCTGTGCCTTGCGGGCTTTGCAGGTCGGCAGGAATTGCTCTTGAACGAGCTCTTGGTCAAGCGTCCGGTGAGCCTGAATCTGAGCACGCCGAACACGCCAAAGGGTGCCACGCCCGACGCCGATGCTGCCGGGTCACCTGCGAAGCTCGGAACAAGGGAGAGTTGTGCTGCTGTCTCGCTTAACAGGCTGAACTCTTCTGTATGCCCAGCACGTTTTTCTGTTTCCGTTTCAGGGACAAGCACGGTGTGGTTCACCCGTCGTCGTTTGATGTAAAGCCGTGAGAGCCTCAGAGCATCAGCTCAGGACGAGTTCCAGAAGCTCTCGGCTCCACAGGCAGAGAACTCAGAGAGCCTGTTGCCGACTTTCAGCATTCTGCGAGAGTTTTGGTCGTGGCTGATTAAAGCCTTCTGTCCAGGGGGTGATCGGGGCATCTCTTCAAGCGAGCATTTACCGTGGTTTTGGGGGATAAGATAACTTTGACCGTGACATAGCAGCAACACATGGTGGTTGTGCCCTGTCTCACAAGGCCAAGACGCCCAAGCGGCGGCTCCTTCACTCCGAGACTTTGGCAGGAAGAAAGTGTGCATCCGACCTTGCCTTCCTGGTGTTTTCTGGGAGCCCCGTGATCAAGACTTGAAATCCCAACTGTTTTGCAGAGACTGAGGCCTATTCGGGAAAGAGTGTGGTAGCTTCAGGAGAGTGGTTAGTCGCATTGGGACGGAGCACAGGCGACGATTTTGCAGACACGGGCCCCGCGACAATGCGGCCGGACTACCAGCAATGCTCTAGTAGCAGCCGATTGGGTAGTTGACAGGTGCGGTTGTGGACAAAGCCGATGCCAGGCTTGCCTGTAAACTCAGATGTTGTTGGTTTGCCTGGCGAGGATCCGCTGTCTGGGCATGTTCTGTTCTTCGCTGGGGTTGTGTCCGGACGATGCCTTCAAGTTAGCCTTAAGATGAGCTCGAGCAGTACCAAGCCCAGGACACTTTTCGTGAGCTACACTGAGTGCCTCGACCGTGAGATAGGACTTAAAGTGAGGAGTGTGAGGTGGAGAGATTTCAGAGCCATACCTTCAATGCCGATAAGCCGAAAGCTTCTTCGATTCAACGCGTTCAACCGAATAGGTCAGTATGTCGGGCTGTGCAGACCTTGCAAGACCCAAGGCAAGACCTGGAAGTCAAAGCCGGGGCGTCCGAAGTCCATGGCACAACGATCCGACGAAAGTCGGCTGGCTCAGGGGGAGTTCTAGAACATAAAATTCGGGGTGCGCGCTCGTCTCTTAGAACGCTCCGTCGCCTGCTGCATGATGCGTGCGGTGTTGCGCCAAGATTTGCCTCCATGCGGGCAGAGAACCCATCGGAAGCCACTGGAACCGTGGACAGTATTTTGAGCCGGTCATGCCGCGGTGTTTACAGGCAGGCCGTGGACTCTAGAGCCCCTGCGTGACCATGGGCTCTTCCAGTTTCAAGCTCTGGCTAGGACCGTCCGAGCCATTGTGCACAGCACCTACTTTGATGCCTTCTTCACTTTGGTGGCCGCTTCGCTGCCAGAGAGCTTCCCGATTGAGGCCCCCGAGTTTAGTCTGCTGGTCAAAGGTGATCGCGAACACGGCGTTTATCGGTTTCGACGTGCAATACACGATCTGGAACGAGGGGGTTCAACCTGCATCCTGTCTGCATCCGACTGTGCCTGAGAGGTGCTTCTCTTTCCCGAGAGCCGAGGCTTTTTTCTACTTTGGAAACTACATATTCTCAGCCCTCTTTGCCGTTGAGCTCTTCTTGCGCCTGTATGTGGAGAGTGGCTCCGAACAATTGGTGTCCCCAGTGTGAGCGATAGGACGCTCTCGCTTAGGATCAGTCTACAGGGTGTGAGACATGCCTTTTTTGAAGAGCTACTGGAGACATTTTTGCAATGCAGTCGTTCACACGTCGTTGTTCATACGTCATTCACTCATGGACCACGTCGCCCTGGTCGCAGGCACACAGAGCATGATCATCATGATGGTGCCAGTGCAGTGTGCAGCCAAGGATGGGCTCTTTATTGTGGAGAGGACTGGATGTGGGGTTGGCTTGACACCTTCATCGTCTTGACAGCACTCTGGGATATCGTGGCCTGGCTTTTTGGCTTTTCCCTTGCGAACCTGTGACAGAAAAGCTGTAGTCCCAAGGTCGTTGATGTCTGGATGGCTTCCCAGGAAGGTGCCGAGTCAGTGGCGGACATGTCCGGGCTCAGGGCATTCCGAATCATTCGCATCACACGTGCCTTCAGCAGCGAACCCTTTTTCCCCTACCCCCGAACATCTTGTCGTGCTTTTGTAGTTTGCTGGGTGTTAAATCTATCTGTGAGTCGTATCCCCTGCGCCACAGCATGCAAGGTATTGTAAAGGCGGTACGATTGATGCGAATCTTCCGCTTTGTGATGGCTCTGCGGATGCTGGTCGCAAGTATTGTGAATACCCTCAAATCACTGTTCTGGGCACTGGTTCTGCTGCTTGGACTCATTATGGGTCGCCAAGCCTTTGACACCAAAGCTAACGATCCTTAGCCTTGAACTCTCACCCTCGAGAAAAAGCCGGTGATTCCGTCCAGCGCTTCAGATACCAGACAGCTTTTTCGCATTCATCTTTGCCGGGAAACTCTAATTGCTTTGGGCCGATGTTGTTTGCGTGCTTGTTCGGTCGTTCGTGCGGTCGTTTGTTTGTTTGTTTGTGATTTCATGAGCGAAGCGGATCATACCTTCTGGGATTCTGGCGTGTAGCATTTTTGGGTTTTGGGGCTTTGGGAATCGAAGGGGCAGTCGCAGTGGCCTTCGAACACCCGCAGCCACTAGCAGTAGTTGTGCTTACAAGATAAGATTTTGCAGTCAATTTGTTCAACTCCCGCGAAGCTCACAGCGGTGGCCGATGTCGTGAAAGCGTTGACGAGGCGCCACCAATACAGGCAATGTCGTCGAGGTCACCTGGGCTCAGTCTGCCGAGTTGATGGACCATGCCAAAGCTTTCGACACCAAGGTTGCGATCGCCATGATGTGCGTCCTGCTGGCTATAAACAGACTACCGCTTGGATCCGGTCACGTTTCGGGCAAGACGTCAGTTCGCCCTGACGCAGGCCACGTTCGAGCAGCAGACCACGACTTTCGACCCGAAGCAAACAAACAGCAGTGCAATTCATTGCAAGAAACAGGAGAAAGGATGATGAAGTTTACTGCGACGCATTACAGAGCGAAAAGGCGCAGTTCGTTACAGAACCGGTGGTGGCACAGACCTCAAGGTGTGGACATGGACCATATAGCGAGGCGGCGCGTGCGTTGGTTAAGCAACATTTACAACGACATTGGGATGATGCCGATCTCACGAGGAGCCAGCATGGCAAGAAGTCAAGCTGCAGATGGCGGAGAGGTGGCCAAAAAGCGATTCCGGTCAACGTCACTACGGCGTCTCGTAGCAACTTTCGTAAGAAAAACTTGGTGGACCGCATCAGCAGTGGGGGGCCCAACCAGTGCACTGCCGGCGAGGAGAACGAACAGCCAGAAGAATCAGATTGCTGACGCGGTCAGCAACGGCAACAGCAAGGAG